AATGTGGAGGTTGTGTTGTCAGACCAGGAGGCCCAGGGATCCCTGTAGAGGCCAATCCACACATACTGAACCCCTGATCCATTCAAAGTGAGCGTGATGTTGGATTTCTCCTCTTTGCTTCTTATACTGGTCAGGTCTGTGTGGTATGTCCTGCAGTACGACTGAGCCGCTGACCAGGAGCGGCTCTCCATCACTAAGATGTAACTTGAACTGCTGGCTGTAAAAGGTTCAAAAAAGGATTAATTTTGAAACACACAGACTATGAAGCTCATAAAATTGTAGGGAAACTATCCCAACAAATGTTTTTTCCTACCGTTGTAACACAGGAAAGGGTAAGAAGCTCCACAGGGTCTATCATCCATCTGTGTTTGTCCCTGAAGAGCCACACAGTATTCCTTTGCTTTTACACAGTCTGGTTGGCCGTTAGCCCAGATCAAAAATTCATGTGTACTGCCAACATAAAAAAGTTTTCCCTCCATGGACCACTTCCAGCTGTAACGATCACTATAAAGCCCTATCCAAGCCCCACTACTAATCCTTGGTGACATTGACAATAGAAGTTGGTTGATGTTGCTGTTGTAGATGGTGACCAAGTCAGTGAAGTGTTCTCTGCAGTAACTCTGAGCTTCAGTCCAGGTCATCAGCTGGTTCACAAAGTGGTATTCTCTGGAGTGGGGAGGAGGAGTGGAAAGTCCTCCTGAGAAAAAATGAAAAGTTGTTATTGTTGAAGGTGGGCCGTTAGATGAATAACTGAAAATACAATTTTTTTTAACTATTGAAATAGTCACACTATATGGAGGCTATCCAGAGGTTAGAAGTAACAAAGTCTAAATATATATATATATTTTTAATAATACTAAAGTAGAATTTTCTGGTATTTTAATTCTACATGTTACATTTTTACAAAGATTTCTCTCCTTTTAGTTTGTATAACATTTGGTTCAACACATTTGGGGGAAGTTTCACATCACTGTGTGGCTTCAAACATCAAAGTTCTTTGAGTCTAAATGGAGGGATGATAACACATAAAAGAAAGTCCTGCTGGTGAATCAGTTATATTTTAAAATTTTATTTTTCTCTTCTCTGTAGTCAAACTGCAACAAGGATGTGTAGTGCAGCCATGTACAACTAATATAGTAAATCTAATAATACATGTATTACAACATTTTTGGCACACTGGCCTGTGAATCCTCAAGATCCCATTTTGATGGGTTGGGATCTATTCTTCTCTAGCTCA